GGAGACTCGCTTGAGCCCAGGAGTTGGAGGTTGCTGTGAGCTGTGATGCCACTGCACTCTACCCAGGAGGACAGCTTGAGGCTCTGACTCAAAAAAAAAAAAAAGATGATGGATTTGGAATAGAGTGCTGTTGGTGCTCCCGCTGTGGCACCTCATCACTGCGTGAATAAAAATAGCCAGGAACACAGATTGAAGGTACAAATGCCTGCAGGAGTGGGGCTTCCCATATTCCAGGGAGAGCCCTGAGCAAACCTCTGCGGTGGCCTTTTATTGAACCATTACATAACAGGTGTGCCCGCCCCTCAAAGCTACATGTTTAATGATCACTATGTGCTCTTGCGCCGCCCTCGACTTCCATCCTGCTACACCACGAATGTCCAACATTTAATGAGTGACCCATCTTAATTCATTAACTCCTGTAGCTGCTTGAGGGCTTGTCTCAAAGCAGCCAGACATCTTCATGCCAGCGAGAGATTGTCCATGCCAGGAGATTGTCTCCCAGCACCTCCCTCAAGAGCCAGTGACTGCTTCCACAAGCTTGGTGCACAGTCTCCTACAGAGTGCTAGAATTGAAAGAGGTGGAAAATGAAGTTGTGGTTATATAAAGAGGTAACACCAACAGGCTTTTCTGATGGATTGGATATAAAGTGTTAGGGAAGTGAAATCAAGGATGATGTCTGAATTTTGGGCATATAAAAAAATACATCATGATCAAGTATTAGTAGATTTTATTCTAAGAATACAAGGATGATTCTTTTAGATCTTCAACACAATTCAACATACGCTCCTAATTTAAAATAAAAAACCAATAAATAAGAATGATGTATACTTTCCTAACACGATCATTTCAATCTTAACATCACCACAACCAGCATCTTACATATGGAGAAATACAAGAGGAATTCTCACTTAGGGCGGGAACCAAGGCAGGGATACCCATTATTTCCGTTACAGTTGAATATGTTAACCAGTATAGTCAAAGGAAAAAACAATAGAGGCATAAAAATATTAAAAGAATAAGTAAAATTATTTCCATTTGTAAATAAAAAAGTGCACCTAAAAAACTCAAAAGAATCAATAATAAAATGAACACTAACAATAAAAAATGCATTAAGATAATAAACTATAAAGTTAATATACAAAAAATCAGTATCTTTATAAATGTAAATAATCAGCTGGAAGATATAATGGAAAAGAAAACCCCATTTACATTAGCAATGAAAAAGATTAGATAGGAATAAATATATCAAGAAATATGGGCTTGGCGCCTGTGGCTCAAGTGGCTAAGGCGCCAGCCACATACACCTAAGGTGGCGGG